TGATCGGCGAAGCAACGGCGGAGTAGTTCCTGAATATCTCTTCTTTGTATTCGTCCAAATGTCTTTTGCAAGAAAATCATTTTTTTTCTAAGTCAGATTCAAATGAGTATCGTTCTTTTTTGGCAATAATATGAGAGTAAGCCTCTTTCCAACCCATACAATTGGTGCTGCGCATCGACTAGAGAATGTATGCAAGCAGAGAATGTTAGGAACACTTTTTTCCCTTCAATTGATGGCTCAAATTTCACCTGTTGAAAGAATAGTAGAGTAAGAAGGCTGGAATTAGGTGTCATGTATAAGAAGACATTTCACGATGCAGTTTGTGTTTCATCCCTTAGCTGTAAACACAGACCGGAAATTTGTTTTATCATTGTGAATGTAATGGGCTGGCATACCTTGTCCCTTTTTAGGTGATTCTTTTGAAGCGTTGTGGACGACACGAAATGTAATGCTATCGTTGTAAGCATTTCGTGCAACATCTGTCCCGTCGCTAGCAACGCCTTTGTCGTTTCCACTAATCAGTTCGTTGTCAGCATCAATCAAATTCAATGGAATTGGCGATAAAGAAATGCGCTTTTCAGTGGCCACAATACGACTTCCTAAAAAAACTTGATATAACATAGATTTTTTACCGTACGAAATCCAATTCTGAACACGGCTTCTTCCGATTTTTCATATTTTTAACAAAAAACTGCTTCTCACAAAAATGACAATTAAGCGTGAAAAATTATTTGTGAAAAAAGAAACATTACGATCATTAGCAAAAACGTTTTTTACCCACTCAACATAAATAATTCCGGCGATAAGTTGAATGTTGTTCCTATTTTAAAATCAAATGTATTTCATGGTTTTATGGATGCCAAGTAAATGGAGTACTGCGTATTTTTATGATACTAAGAGATTTTGTATCTATACGAGGGAGTTGAAATACTCATTTTCGAACAAGTCATTTTACTGTTGCGGAAGATCCACAAGAGTTATAAAACCCGTTTAATGATTGTTTCATAAATGCGCAGGTAACTGGACTCAAATCCACCGAGGAAGAGCAAAAAAAGTGAAAAGCGAGCATTGAAATGATAAGTAATGGCCATTCGAAGCATAGACGGATCCAGGGGGGTCTCCCGGGTATCGAGCAGACTTTTGTACAGTAAAACGACTGCTACCTACCCCTCTGGGGAAGAGGGCGAAAGATCCCTGGATCCATCAATGATTCGAAGACCGATTACAGAAGTAGACGGTTCAAGTGG